AACGACATCACTTGGAAGATACTCAAAGGTACCATACCCATCAATGAGGATTGAAGCTAACTTGTTTTTAATGCCACCATTAATAGCAGATTGATGGGAAATTAGGTAAGAACATCACATTGAGGGTGTCAGTGTAACACACTGAGGTGGTGATTCTTTGTGGGACAGTGAAGTGATTCTTCACATTTGCCTGAAAACTGTTAAAGGGTATTGGCTGTACATGAAGATGTGACAGCCAGCGGCTCCCTTTGCTGTTTTTCATCCTTGTTGAATAAGCAAGTAGTATTTACAATTACAGACGACACAAGATTTAATAAAGAACAGCACACCTTCAGAACTCTGTCGTGTATATACAGTATTCTGTTTCCAAAATTGTGATATCCTCAAATTGTTGTTGGTTTGAGCAACATATTGTATCATGATAGTGTTATATCATATTGTGGGTTACTCTGCGATTTCTACCCCTAGAGAGATTTTTCCACTGTGAGAGAACACAAGACTCCAGTGGGGTGAGAAAGGCAGACCCTGTGTTAACATCAGTGATCACTGGTGCTCAAACTCAGTTAAACAAGATGGAAAATATTTACCACCTGTGGTCGTGTTATTTATTTATTTATTTATTTATTTTTTGAGAGCTCACCCGTGTGTTTTCCTCTGCTGTTTATATTCATCTGGATAAAAATTCATAATATGGGCTACAGGTGTAGAAGGCACTGCAGAGAGGGATTTAAGAACATGACCAGGGCACATTTACAGTTACTGTCATACTGTAATTATGATTACCCTATAAAACCTTGCATTGCATAATGGAAAAACAAGACTGTAAATTAATTATTAAAATACAGGATATATTTTTATATTTTCTGATCTTTATTGTTTTAGTGCTATGGTGAACTAGACACTCATTTTAACAACTCATCAAGTATCTTGGTATTAGAGAGAGAAAGTCTTTGCGTCATGTGTATGTAATTTCCAGTGCTGATTTCTCTTGTGTACACTGAGACTAATTTGGCTTTGAGGCCTGAGGGACTGTGGTTGATCGAGCTGATCGTTGCACTGTGGTTAGGAAGCTTGTCAGTCAAGCATTTGGATAAAACCAGTGCTACAAATACTACTACTGCTACCACTGCTGTTCCTGCTATACCTCTAATACTCCTTTAATAACCATAACATGCATACACAAACTTATACATGGTGCTACACAAGCTCAATACTGAGACCAAGGTTTCAGGATACAACTTTTGTTTTTTCAATAGGAAGAGGGCCATGTGACACATCAAACTTATTGGTAATGTCACAAGAAAAGCAATGGTGTGCTTGGTTTCAACGTAACTTTATTCTTTCATGAGTTATTTACAAGTTTCTGACCACTTATAAAAATACAGCAGTTAAAGTGAAACCTTTGAATTTGAGGTGTCATGTCATACTGTATAGTTGGCTTACTCTGGCTGTGGGCTTACCTTGCTACATGGGAAAACTGCTATCTGAATTTTTCTGTACTTAACATTTTCAGCTACCTGTTATTAAATTTTATATTTTGGGGTACTTCAGTTTCTTCTAAAACATTTGATCACTTAAGTTAGAATGACAGTTTTGAAGTTGGGTTTTTACATTGTCATGGTACAAAAGGGGAATTCAAGTTTACATAAAAAAATATATAATCTGGTTTTTTTTTTGTTTTTTTTTAAATAATATCCGTATGACCTTCAGCTGCTCCCAGAGGTAAAAAAAAAAAAAATTGGACTTGGCTGTAAAGACCCTGGTATAAACATGTTAGAGCTTAACACAATTTCTTGTATTAAATGGAAAGCTGCTGTTCCTCTTGAGTCTTGTGAGTCATCCAAGCAGAAGGGCTCCAGGTTCATGGGCACTGCTCTCATCTTACACTTGAAAATTACAAATGCAACTAGATAAACAGAAAAAGAAATAGTTTAAAAAAAATCATTCTTTTTTTTTTTGCCTGAGGTGAAACACAAGTTATCTTTATTATGGAACACACTTTTAGATGTTTGTATGTCTATGACTCAGAAAAGTCAGTTCTTTAACTGTGACTGAAATTGGGTTTTTTTCTTTATACAATTGTTCTCTCTCTTACTAAACCGATACGTACAAAATTATGACAAACACAAGATGATATAATCATAGATTGATTATTTGACAAATAAAAGCAGGGTATAATGAAGTCTTTTAAACTCTTCATGTTAAACGATCAGCTGTTCATCAGCTGTGACTTTTTAAATCAAGTCTGTTAATTGTGCTTCTTATCAGTAATGAGTCAAACCATTAAAAACTGAAGAATACATTTTGACTTCCGAATCACAAAAAGGGGAGCTGAGTCATCTATATGATGTGATCATTTCAAGAGCTCGAATATGACTCATGCAATGCAAGTTATTTCAGAATGCGTTAAAAACACAACTGGCTTGTGATGATTTATCAAACTTATACAGTAGAAATGACATGTTATGCAACATTTTTATCCAGTTGCAGACTTAGATGGCGTGTTTGCTGCCTGAATCACTTTAATAAGCATTGCATTTCTGAGCTATTTTGGAGTTAATGCAAATGTGAGACTGTAATGTGCATAGTTTAGATAACTAAACACGTTGGTTAAGGTTGGATAGACATTGTGATTTTGTTTAACAAATTCTATACATGCTAATGTTACCTAGCTAGTTGTCAGCAACCAGTAAAATGTCTTATACATTTTACATTTACAAAATTATCTAATGCAGTCACAAATGTCCTTTTAAATATATTTGGTATAGCACATTAGTTATTCCCAACCTCGGGTGTTTGTAAGTTAGTGTGCTCCTAGGTAGTTTACAGCTCTCCAAAGTGTGGATAAAGTGTGGAGGGTTGCATCAGGAAGCATATCCGGCTTAAAAATCTTTGCCAAATATGCAGCTCCATCGGTTGTCATGTCCCCTTGAGATCTTCTTCTTGTGTAGCACAGTTATATATAGAAATATAAGTACTAAAGGCTGAATTTATGATTGACACAAAATATGACAATGTCACCTCAACCTCAATCTCAATAAAGAGATATTTGCATGCCTGGTAATCATTTTCTAGTCTTTTATTGACCGTTCATATTTGTTTGGATGCAGGTGGACAGTGAAGAAAAAGAGGGACTTCATTTGCTGAAATGCAGTATGGCATTTCAGACATTCGTTAAAAGAGACCACAAAGTTTTGAATTGTATATAAACCAACCAAATATTGGTTGGTTGGCCATTGCCCCCAAAAGCGGAGTCAATACTCTTATTGCTTCCCAGACTGTCTAAGCTAAATCTATTTCATTACATTTATCAATAATGAGTTTCCATAATGTGAAAGATTTAGCACTACTGAAGAATCTATAGAAGCTCCACACTGCGCTCATTTGTTCTGACATTATCACTGAGATGTTTTTACCTGTGAAAGCAGGAAAAGCATCACTGCAATGAAAAATAATAATGGATGGAGCCACTGTTGATAGCAGGTACCCAGTATGTCAGTGAGTATGCTGATTCTGGATTCAGTCTTCATTTTGGCTGTGCTTTTCTGTTCTGTTCCTCTGCAGCTGGTGAACTTGAAGAGATGAGTGAATATACCAATAAAATCTGATTTCCTGTTCAGCAGATGCACTGTATAAACATTTAACAAAAGGGCTTGGGTTGACACACAATGGAGGAGCGGGACGGGAGGGGTGATGTGATCAACAAGGAAATTCTCTTCTTTCCATGCACGAGGCATCAATGCATTTTAGGAACTGTGTCCAGTATTTTAGGTGTTGATGTTATACTATTTTTTTTGGTTACGTTGTTTCATGCCACACCAAAGAGAACAGGGTTATGATGATGCTATACTTGTCATTTCAAGTGTCCCCTCCGAGAGTCTTGCCTACAGCATATCAGTGTTTGGACAAGCCAAAAGACAGGGCATAGATGTGACAACACTCTCCAGCTGTGCCAGACATTTTTCACTGGAGAGTGTAGGAACAAAGAGCTCTCATCTGCTGGTGATTCTCTCTGTGTATTATGCTGGAAATGACCTTTACAAAAAGGAACAAACTGTTGCAAACTATTTCTCGTGTTCTTTCAAAAACTGCATATAAAAGATAACATATAATTACATTATGTTTTTTGTCCTTTTGAAAGTGGTCTACTGTCTAAATTGTCGCAGGAAAAAACCCCACAAAACAATACACACAATTATAAAGTGTTGCCTCACGATTTACAGTTGAATCAGCATCTCCAAGAAAAACAAAACCCTCTCAGGACGTAACTAGGATGATGCCTCTGTTGCCTTAATTATATATATAAGTTTGTAAATTGGTCAAAGAAAGATAAATTCCCATCTCAACTTTAATAGAACCTCGGATGAATTACTCATTCAGGAAAAAAAAATGAATGTAAAAAAAAGGACAGTAAATTTTCACAATTAATGAGCTGCAAGCAGCAGCTGTTTTTCTTAATTAACGACTTAACAAATAGCTGATTGTCAAAGTTACTGATTAGTCTACTTTGTTAATTATACAAGAAAGTCAAGTAAATGCGTGGGTCCCTAAGTGTGCACTTCTGTGGTATTGATATTTATCTCAATATTTTAATGTTTGATTTTTTGTTAGTACTTTATTTGCTCATTGCTCATTGTTGTTATATAACTTGATCCTTGTTTTTACAGATGTCACAAGTGTTTCTATAATATCCCTGAATATCTGTCACCAGTACAGATGTGTGGATTGCATGACTGCAGCTTCATGCATGTGTCAACTGGACTTCTTAAAATAAGACCTGTTTACTAATTACTGTTCTCTCTTAACCTCATTAGATGGAAAATTTTCAGGCTTAACACATAGAGTTAATCTGTTGTGATTAAAATAACCCCATTAATTCACTGATAAGGGATTATGTCTGGTCAAGGATTATTTAGAACTAGATTGACCAGTGTAATTTCTTAAAATTGTTACTCCCTCTGACCACTTTGCTTCTGTCGTTTCTCACCCCGTTTCTTCAGCTTTAGGACTGTAAGGGAACTGGCCCCGCTCTGCCATCCTCCTCCTCTAACATCACACTGCGTTGCACCACAGTCATGTCCTTTCCCCACTGTGCCCGACCCATGGAGAGTGCACACCCACCCAGATAGGATGCCTGCTCTGCTTGATACCCTGCATCCCCTCCTGCCCATTACCACCTCCTCCTTCTCCTTGTGTGTACCTGCTCTTGCCAACAGTTCCTTGCGGCCCCCCAGGCTCCACCCTGCCTCGTTACAACATGGTGGATGATTTAACCACCATGAAGGATGATGTCATCAACGCCAACACGCTGGCTTGGCTGGTCTGTTCGGGCGTGTCCATCCTTGCCAACACTTGGAGTATCCTTAGTGTCAGTGCCAAGCAGAAGAAGTGGAAGCCGCTGGAGTTTCTCATCTGCACCTTGGCGGGCACACATATCCTCAACATGGCCATCCCCATTACCATGTACTGTGTCATAACACTGCGGCGTCAGCACTCCAACTACGAGTGGAATGAGGGTCTGTGCAAAGTGTTTGTGTCTACCTTCTATACTCTCACACTGGTCACCTGCTTCTCGGTCACCTCACTCTCCTATCACCGCATGTGGATGGTTCGCTGGCCTGTAAACTACAGGTAAGACAACTGATTTTGTTGTTTATGACTGACCCTAGTTATAATCTTTATTCAGGTTGCCTAAATTTTAAATGTCCATTTCATCCAAATTTCAGTTTCAAGCAAGGTATTACACTTTATATATTTCAATATTTATTTGCTATGGTTTATACACATCTGCTTCTGATGTTTTTCCAATCCAGTATATTTCATTCCTCACTCTGAACAGTCATTACTGGAAGTATCCAGTAAGTATCCGAGTATCGGAGCAGTTGAGACGCATTTTTTCTAAACACACTCTGTGGCTTTTAAACCCCAAAAGAAGCTGCGCCAAAACTTGGTCCACCCCAAGGATCAGATCTCCTGACACAAACAGAGTAATATAGTGTACGCTGTTAAGTGCCAGGAGGATTGCCAGGATTTATACATCGGGGAAACCAAACAACCTCTGGTGAAGCGGATGGCACAACACAGAAGAGCTACCTCGTCAGGCCAGGACTCTACAGTCTATTTACACCTATAGGCCAGTGGACACTCTTTCAATGATGAGGATGTACACATCCTGGACAGGGAGGAACGCTGGTTTGAGCGCAGAGTCAAAGAGGACATTTATGTGAAAAGGGAAAGACCATCTCTGAATCGAGGAGGGGGCCTAAGGGTACATCTTTCGCCATCTTACAATGTTGTGATTGCAGCCATTCCCCAACTCTCTGTGAATGGTACTCATGGCCATTGCTCAGTGGGCTTTGATCAGTGGGCCTTGATCAGTGGTTGTTGATCAATGGTCATGAGAATTTGCATAATTAAGATTAAGGAACTGACCTCCCAGCCCATTGTTCCTTCAGTGGGCTGGTTTCAGTCATTATGCAAATGCACTGTTTATAAGATTGGGGAAACCTGCAGTCAGCTGAGACTGAAGAAGTCACTTGGATGAGTGACGAAATGTTTCTCCCACAAAACGCTAGGTCCAGATGAACAAAATCAACCTTTGGAGAATTACTGGAAGAACTTTCTATTGAAGAAATGGCTGCTTTATAAGCTGTTGTCTAGTTTTATCTCCAGATAAAAATAGACCAAAGTAAGAAATAATACTTTGTTTTGTAGTTTAGGGGGAACCAAATCTTTAGGTTCACTTGAATATTCAATCACAGAAATGTCAGTATAGTGGATACAGTATTATGTGTGTTTTTAAAAGTAAAATAACATAAATAAATGCAGTGTGATCTTTAGCACAGAAAACATAAATGTGTTTAAAGGCACTTTTAGATGTTAATCTCCTGCAAGGCTCACACTCAATCCTTGAAAAATTCTATAGTTAAGGTTCAGGTTTTTTTTGGGCCTCTTCCTTTGACAACTTCTCACATAGGATATAGACAGATTTCAATTTTTGTGGCCCATCACCTTATTTACCTTTGATTTTGAGTGTGATGCTCTTCATCATGCAAAGACTGTCCCCTGCCAACACATCTGCTGGTTGCAGCTATTTGGGGTAACACCATGTGAAACCTTCTAGACTGAGCATCTGCCAGCTCTAGCTTTCACCTTCATTTGGCTCCTCATAACATGTGATAATACTAAGTAACACCGAATAATAAAGATCAGGTTCACCTCACACTAACAACACCATTTTGGTCCTGTAAGACTTCCAAGAAATCTGCTGTTCACACATAATCAGATGTTCTAAGGAAAGGTTCCCTTTCCTTTAATATGAGATTTGGATGCTGTATCTCTTCTGATATGTACCAGTGCTGCTCTGAACTGACACATGCTAATGATTATTAAGAAGCACCTCTTGATTTGTTCTAAGATAAGATTGTAATTTATCATGATAATGAGTTGCACAGCAGACCATATTGACTGTTTAAATGGTTAATGTGAAGGTTTGTAATTGGTGCATCTTAAGAAAATTTGAAGCATAGCTCAGAGGCCTTGGCTTTGTTGCAATTTAGCTGTTACATTCAGAGCTCTAAGCTCTGCCCATCAGGTGCAGCATAATCATTTGCAGTCGAGTGCATTTTGAGAGCAAATACTGTAGGAAAACAGCCAGAGAACCTATAAAATCAGCTGTCGCATCTGCAGAACACATACCAACTAAAATGTGGTGCATGTGGTGAACATCAGTCTTCTGCTGCATCACTCTTTCTCTCCTGCTGAAAATCTACGAGCGATTACGTCCTGTGGCATCAAGCCTGCAGATACTAAACATGTTTTCAACTTGGCCAATTTTGCAGATAAGCAGACATTCAAATAAGATATGCAAACTTCCTTTTAAATCTAAGCCCAATCTTGCTATCTATATTGCTTCTGCAGCTGCCAGTATTGGCCGATGCCCACACAGTGATATCAAGCTTTACACAGATGCTTATATCTCCCTCGTCTGCTCCCTCACTCATCTGACTGTAGTCTCTCTGGTCTCCTGTCTGGGAACACTTTCCACTCAGCAGCTTGTCTTCTTCTGTTCAAGTCACCTTTAACAACAGTATAGTGGAGTGATAGCTCAGGTGATGCACCGTATAATTGCTGTTCATCTTTCATTTAATTCGCTCCACATTTGCCCTGCTGAGCTAGCATGGCTGCCTTTACTCTGACATTAACATACACTGAAGGCCTGAATTATGAATTCCAACCTTGTACTTAGGCAGCTGTGCTCATCACCCTGCGTTCACTATCTCTTAGGAGGGTTTTTTCCGCTCACAATGCTCTCAGTCTGGTAATAGATTTATGCAGCTTGGTGATGTAACTGTCCCCATGTACCCCAGGCACAATCAGGAAAGGCTAGCATTATTACTCATTGTGACAACAAGACCTACTTGTCTTTGAATGAAGCCATAGTGCAAAGATGGAGGCTACTGCAGTACTACTGCTACTGCAGGCTATTGTAGTACTCTTATTGCGTCAGTGTATGTAGGCTTATACTTTACTACTTTCAAATGTTTTCCATTTTATTTTGCCAATCTTTTTATGTAAAGCTATCCATTCTAGCCAGTGTGCCCCATTTCTCTGGAAATGGAGAAGGGAATTGGTGATATGCATTTTGGTTCTCATCGGGAGGTATATTTGGCTTCCTACGCTAAAAGAGCTGACGCTTAATGAATTAAAGCATCTTTTACCACACAAATGAACCAGTAGAACCATATTAACTGTACTTTGTTACACAATAGAGGCATAAAATAGTCTATACTTACATGTTCTAGGAACTGAAAAGGATATTTTTATGTATGACACACACACCTATATTTGTGTGTGTGTGTATATTTTTGCTTATGTCTGGAACAACTCAGTAATCCTTGAATACAGTAATCTATCCAAATGTTTTGGCAGCTTAGCGTACTCTTTCGTCATGTTTGGGAAATGAGAACGCCAGTCACTGCTTGATATATTTTTAGATGTATGTGTGTAGTTTCTGCAAACCTTGAAAAGTGCTACATCGCCAGAGGTCACAAACACATTCAGCAAATTGCTCGACTGTAACAATTACTTGGAGGTGAGAGGAAACAGAAATCTCTTTGTGTTGAAATGGACCTACATGATAAATAGACCGAGGGATATCAAAGGCAATCTTTTACCATCAACAAATAATCGATTTCCTTCCACATTCATCTTCAGTTTATCTAAGCTGTGCCTATGTGGGTTGATGTTTTTATCAGCTTATGTATCCCAGCTTCATATCTGCCATTTTACAGTATTTTTCCATGGTTGGGTCTGTTTTACTTGTAATACTGGTCAGATTTCCTCACCATGAAAAAAAAGTCAAACACAGACCTCGTTATCAGTGTTCTATTTGAATCATTTTGTTTGAATTGTTGAGGACAGATCGCAATTACTGTAGGTGCACTGTTTGCCAATATTGTATAGTGTGTGTCTCTGATGTGTAATGATTGTGAGAAGGAGACTGAAATCCTCCATGTACTTATAATATTGCAATATTGCTTCATAAGTTACTTTAGTACAGTCAGAGTAGACCACACTGTACTTGTTAGGCAAGGCAAGGCAAGTTTATTTGTATAGCACAATTCAACAACAAGGTGATTCACAGTGCTTTACAGAGACATTAGAAACAAAAACAAATAAAAAGCATGATTTAAAATTGATTAAAACAAGCAAGCAAACAAACAAACAAACTAAATAACAAACAAACAAACAAACAAAACAGTATGTAAAATCAAAACAGATAAAATCAGTAGTTAAAATGTAAGTTTTGAAGTTTAAGCTTAAAAGTGTGGATTTGGTGCTTTATTCAAATGCAGCTGAGAACAGGTGAGTCTTCAACCTGGATTTAAATAAACTGAGTGTTTCAGCTGATCTGAGGCTTTCTGGGAGTTTGTTCCAGATATAAGGAGCATAAAAGCTGAATGCAGCTTCTCCGTGTCTGGTTCTGACTCTGGGAACTGATAAAAGACCGGATCCAGATGACCTGAGGGATCTGGAAGGTTCATAATGGGTCAGGAGGTCACTGATGTATTTTGGTCCTAAACCATTCAGAGCTTTATAGACCAGCATCAGAACTTTAAAGTCTCTCCTCTGACGGACAGGCAGCCAGTGTAAAGACCTCAGAGCTGGACTGATGTGGTCCACTTTTTCGGTCTTAGTGAGGACTCGAGCAGCAGAGTTCTGAATGAGCTGTAGTTGTCTGACTGATTTTTTAGGTAGACCTGTAAAGATGCTGTTACAGTAATCAAGCCTACTAAAGATGAATGCGTGGACTAGTTTTTCCAGGTCCTGTTGAGACATCAGATCTTTTATCCTCGAAATATTTTTGAGGTGATAGTAAGCTGATTTTGTTATTGTCTTAATGTGTTTTTCTAAGTTTAGGTCTGCATCCAGCATTACACCCAAATTCCTCGCCTGGTTTGTGGTTTTTAGGTGTATAGATTGAAGTTCTCTGGTGACCTGTAGTCGTTTTTCTTTGGCGCCAAAGACTATTACCTCAGTTTTGTTTTTGTTTAGCTGGAGAAAATTGTGGCACAACCAGTCATTAATTTCCTCAATGCATTTACCAAGAGCCTGTACAGGGCCTTGGTCTCCTGGTGACATTGTGATATATATTTGTGTGTCATCTGCATAGCTGTGGTAGTTTATTTTGTTGTTCTTTATAATCTGTGCCAGTGGGAGCATGTAAATGTTAAACAGAGGGGGTCCCAAGATGGAACCTTGGGGAACTCCACATGTGATACTTGTCTGCTCAGATGTGAAGTTACCTATTGATACAAAGTATTTCCTGTTTTCTAAGTATGTTTTGAACCAGTTTAGTACAGTTCCTGAAAGACCTGCCCAGTTCTCCAGTCGTTTGAGTAATATGTTGTGGTCAACTGTATCAAATGCTGCACTGAGATCCAGTAAAACTAAGACTGACATTTTTCCACTGTCTGTATTCAGACATATGTCATTAAACACTTTGGTCAGAGCAGTTTCAGTGCTGTGGTTCTGTCTAGAACCTGACTTGAAGGCATCATAGCAGTTATTCTGTTTTAAGAAGTAATTGAGCTGTTGAGAAACTGCTTTTTCAATGATCTTACTTAAAAATGGGAGATTTGAGATCGGCCTGTAGTTGTTCATTTGTGTCTTGTCAAGATTGTCCTTTTTCAGTATAGGTTTTATTACAGCAGTTTTTAGTGGTTCCAGAAACACACCTGACATTAAAGAAAAGTTGACGATCTGTAACAGGTCTGACTCTAAAGTCTTTGAGACCTTTTTGAAAAAACGTGTTGGCAGGACATCTAAACAGCAAGAGGAGGAGTTCAGTTGACCTAAGATGTCCTCCAGGTCTTTGCTGTTAATAGGGTGAAACTGTTTTAAGGTGTTTAAACAGTTTTTTGGTGGACACAGTACATATCCTGGATCTGCTGTTGATGTACCAATTGCTTGTCTAATCTTTTTCTGTGAAGAAAGTCATTGCAGGCCATGGTTGAATGAAGTTCAGCTGTTGTTAACAAACCGAGCAAAGACACAAGTCAATATTAAAACCAGCCTACACATTTTTCTGTGAAACAAAGTGTAATGCGGAATGGGCTGCGTTGTTCTTCTTTTATAGCTGCACAGTCATTTTAGTTACAATTTTCATCAACTCTTCAGTGAATCAACACTCTGCTTTAGTTTGAAGTATGTGACGAGGGTGAACACAGTAGCATAGTGGTATCTGCACCAAGTAACGTAGATATGTAATTACAGAGCTACACAGACAGTTAAAATGCATGAATGAATGAATGAATAAATAAAATTCTGTGCAGAAATCCGCACAACTGTATTTTAAAATTTGTTTTAAGTGAGAAGGATTGAGTGTCCTATTCTATAATTCCAGTAAAGAAAAGACATAATGTAAGTTAGAAAAATAGTTCAGTATGCTTTCTTAAACAGAAAACCAGCAAAGATTGGTAAGATAGACTTCTATTTAGATATATTTTGTCAGTGCAGGTTTGTAAAGATAGGATGGGTAATATCTTGGTAGCAATCAATGTGTCACGCTTTTGCTCTTTGGAACTGTAAATGCAGGACTATAGCATGCTGATAACTATAATGTTTATCCAGGTAAAGACTGCCTTTGAAATGCATTAGAGTGATTGAGGTTATTTTGTTCAGAATCTAATAAGGATCAAATGACTGTGATTAAAGACGATTTCCTTTTTCTTAAAAAAAGATAAAATGCAAATCCATTTTTTGTTACTTCTCTTTGTTAGAAACTCCTTTATAGTGTGTACTTGTATATATTTTTGGTTTTAGGGATCTGAGCATAGTGATTTTAAAGATCAGATAAGTTAGGATCCACAGATTTTACACTCTAATGAACGACACACAAATCAAAGCCAATGGGTATTTCACTTGATTTCCTGCAAAAATCTGTTGTTCTCTTTCCAGGCTAAGTAACACAAAGAAGCAGGCAGTACACACAGTGATGGGTATCTGGATGGTCTCCTTCATCCTGTCCACACTTCCAGCAGTGGGTTGGCATGACACGATCGACCGCTTCTACACCTCTGACTGCCGGTTCATTGTGACAGAGATTGGCCTGGGCTTCGGAGTCTGCTTTCTGCTCCTAATCGGTGGCAGTGTGACCATGGGTGTGATCTGCATCGGCATCGCTCTCTTTCAGACCTTCTCGATTCAGGCAGGTCACAACGCTGACAAGAACAAGTTTAATGTTCCCACCATAGTGGTGGAGGATGCTCAGGGAAAACGCAGGTCATCCATCGATGGATCAGAACCGCTTAAGACGTCGCTGCAAATCACCTACCTGATCAGTGGTATTGTCTTCATCTATGACTTCCTGACTGGCTTCCCCATACTGGTGAGTTCACTCTTCTTCTTGCTTGATTATAAAAGCATTGTAACAGGAAAATGTACGTGATAATATAATAATAATGTTCTGTTGATGCACTGTACAATCACAATTAAATCAAATCATAATCAAAGACAATTATAGCCAATTGGAGAGGACATTTTGCAGTGCACCTCTATTCATTAACTCACTGTTGATTCATATTGAATACAGGTTTATACACGTATACTAAGATTAAACTGCTTCTGTCATAATTATGAATTGTGATACTTTGAAGTATAAGAAAGTTCTAGCCTTTGACTCTCCCTGTTAATGTTTTTTGCACCGTTTCTTTGAGAAAAGTTTCCATGCTTGTTTTTGAAATGGTGTAGCCTCTAAGAAAACCACCTCTAAGAAAACAGCTACACACACTAAGACACTGATGCCACACTAATGGCATACTTTTTTTATTTAACTGTTCTTTTCCACTTGAAGGTGAAGATTTCATTAATAAAGTTATGTGAGATACATGTGACAATGAGGTTACCTGTAATCTGAAGTTAAACATAAAAATATTTCATTCATTCCAAGGCTGTAAGGAGGTCAGGTTAAATGTGGACAGATTTGTGTTTGATCTCTTTTACATATTATACAGTGTAAGCCCACCAATGGAGAGATAAAAAAAACAAACAATTAACAATAAAAGCGATGATAACAGTCACAAGAACAACATGTTGGCAAACTAAGGCTGAAAAACAGGTAAGCACTGAAATCATTATCATGCTGTTGTCTTTTGGGGAAACGGACTTCAAAAACAGAGCGACTTCCTTCTGCCAAGATGGCATGCCTTCACATCAGGGAGTGAAAGCGTGAGTTGTTTTTCTCTAAGTCGCCATTTGGTTTGTAAATTCCACCCTCAGGTTCTCGTGTATTTTTTTTTTTTTAACAAGTTAGCTCGCTGGTTTTCTATATAAACTTAAGAGCCTGCAGAAAGCTCAAGGCTTATTGTTTGTGATGCAGCCAAACAACCAGATTGTCTTCTGTAAAGAGAGCCAACTTAATAGAGCATTTTCAGTAGGGCAAATGAACTTGGACAGTTTTTTATTTTGGAACAAGTATTTTTTGTTCATGTTTGGCCACCTGGGTTATAGTAGAAGTTGATATTAAATATTCTAAATGGTTTTAAACCATACATATAGTGGAGCCCACTGGTTCAGTGTGTGTGCATGTGTGCCTTTCCTGATGAAAGGCACACATGCACACATTTTACAGATGGCTGTAGACGACATTGTAACTCTCTCCTGACCTCCTTTGTGCATGTTGATGATGATTTGAACCAAAAACTTTCAAATTTGAAATCATCACACATCATTAGTTTGTAAGGCCCATTGCCTCTGATTCCATCTTTTCACCTTTTCTCCCTGTTTTCCCTTCTTTTAAAATGGCATCTTGACAATGAACTTTCGATTGAGTCTGTTTCTGATGAGGCTTCAGTGAACTGTAGATGGATGAGCTGAAGGGTTAGATATATGTCAATCTGCTGGATTTTCTTATTTCTTAAGGACTTAAGGACTCAGGATACTGTTCTTAAAATGATCAGGTACAAGGACTAGAATGAAAAAAACCGAGTGAAAAAGCAGCCAATTTCTGAAGAAAACACTTGAAAGACTTTCATAAAGCCTAAAGAACACTTTAAAAATTACAGAATATCATCATTGCAAAAGATGCTTTCAATAGTAATCTTTATTTTTTGGCTATTTTATGACAAGTCTCTTCAATATATTTTTGCTATTTTCAAATAAAATTCAGCTCTTAGCTTTTAATGTGCTCTTAAATTTGAGTTTAAAACAATAATTCTGCTTCCTATGTGTGTGGGCATAAACCTTAGGTTGGGTGGGGGTCTAATAAATATGTTATGTATTCAGAAAAAGATCCTCGGAAATTGTTTATGAATTTGTGAATTATGAAGTGTAATTAAATTTTCTTTGCCACTATTTTTGTGTAATGGCTCTGTAGTGTTTGGTGTATGTCATGGTTTTACCCATAAGGTTTCACAATATTACACTTCTGAATTAAGATGTTGCAGGGTATATAAAACACCTTTTGCTTTATTAGCTAGAAAATATTATTATTATTATTATTATTAAAAAAGACAACTGTACACACTTATAGCAATGTATTGTGTTACTACTTTACATGTGTGCAAAACAAAAGGTGGGGTGCTGAGGAAAGATCACATTTCAGATGTAGTAAACCAAACAACAGTAGGCCTGCTAGCCATCTTTATGGCTGGGTGTAATGAGCTATTTAAATGCATAGAAACCTCTAACAGATACAAATGAGTACGTATATTTATTGTGAACTGTATGGTCTTACAAAGTATGATACAGAGGAACAAATTATCAGAGCAGAATAGAATCACTACTGTTAAATATAAAAACTAATTTATGTGAACAGACTAAATACATGAATTTTCCAGGGGCAGATATACAGTATGTGAAAACACGTGCTTCATAACTTCCAGGGTTTTTATATCAAAGTGTAAAAAGTTCTGGGTAAAAACTGTAAGAAGCTATTCTTTAACTTAAGGAAGATGAAGTTCTATATTCTTAGCTTTAAATCTAAAATCCTCAAATATTCATAAAAACTACATCAGTACCCCTTGAAAAAGATTCATCCTACAGTTTAAAGTCACAACATGGGAAATGTTTATTAGTGCATCACTCGTGGGGTGGTAAAGTGGAGAAAAAACTGTTTAACTTCAGTGTGTTTTATTGTCTCAGTAGGCAAACAAAGGCAATATCAGGTTAAGGCTTTACAACTTTATCAAGTCTCTTAGCAACAGGGATAAATGGTTGGTATTTGAGCACAAGGCATGATCGAAGGAGGTTAAACCTGAGATAATTTTAAGTTTGCAATAACCACTGGGGTTTTCACATTCACTTGACAAGTGAAAGGCCGTGGGTTCAGTTCCAGCCGGAGATGTAAATCACCTTTCTGGTTGTGTCAGAAAGGGCGCCTGGCATAAAACTCTGCCAATTCAAACATGCGGAACTTCCTGTTGTGCCAACCCTTATGACAAGGGGAGCAGCTGAAAGAAGCTTTACTGTAATCACTGTTGTGGCCCGATGACTGAGATAATGACTTAAACTTTAACATTTAACATGCTAACTGAAGCCTGCAGACTCTGAGATGTAGCTCTGGGTCTTGAAGTTTTTCTGAACATTGCATTCTCTGACATTTGCTGGGACAAACAATCCTAGGAAGATTGTTGCATTGTGCTTAGAAACACCTGTATGCTCCGGTCCAGCAAACTGGAAACTTTTGCTTTTTATAGGGGTGGTCACACTTGCTGTTGATCAGTTAACTAGGTTTTATTAGCTGTACATGGCTGCACATCCCTATGGAAACATTAAAGGGAGTACTTCATTTTTCCCAGGACTTCATGGAGTCCGGTGATAATTGTTGATACTGGAGGTTATTCATGATGTAAACATACATTGGACTATTGCAACTGCAAAAGTGTTGCATTAAATCAGTTGATTCTTCTAGTTTCTTCAAGCTTCCTTTGTATATTGTAGTTAGCCACTTTGAAAATTTGTCACTGCAAAAGAAATACTTTGAAATATTGTCAAATGTACCTTTATTATTATTATTATTATTATTATTATTATTATTATTATTTATTGCTTTAATCACTTATTGAAGTAATGGTAGTGACAGACAAAGGCCATACTGTTTGCCTTGTAAATACTGGCTATGATAGCCATACATAGGCTGCTTATTGAACTGATGATGAAGGGTACATAATACGATTTTCTAACATATGGGAGTGGATCTGGAAGATAATGTTTAGTAGGAACTTGGCTGCAGGTTTTTTTCATCTGGCACTGGAAAATCTGGACTGAAATGCTTCTCACAGGAGGGTTTTTTCTTCCTTTTACTTTTGGACTGTTTGCATCTGTTTCAAATTATTTTAACTTAGATTATCTGATACCATAAATACACTAGCAGGAGTATATGTTCCCAAGGGGGGTGACCGTTTAAAGTCTGTAAACAGGTACATTTACTGGTTTACGCTGAGATTAAGAACAAACTGCCACCAATGTAAATGTCTAAGAGATGTATCTGTTCCCGCTCACTTTGCTTATTTAAACCAGGAAGTACTGTGTGGTGATCCTGTAAAAGATACCTGATGTTCTTTCTGTTGTGTTCATAAGATCTATTATCAGTAAACTCTTAAGCCTGGAAAGCAGTGCTGCCATAAACATTTGATGCTTAACTCAGTATGTTTACCTTGCTACAGTCTGAGTAAATATTAACTGGTTTACTGTTGACTGATTTATCCATCCAGTCCATATCTTGTGCATCGCTGAGTGGATTTAAACAAAACTGGGGAACCGGGATGGGCAAGGGACAAGACAGAGACGCAGGTTGTGTCAATGACCACACTTGTGGCTAGAAAGCTGATACTTCTCTGCTGGAAGTCTGATAAACCTCCTACCTTCGAAATGTGGTTGAGAGAATTTGGAAATGTACTCCATCTGGAGAAAATCAGGTTTACCTTGTCTAACCGAGAGAGTGTGTTTTATAAGATTTGGCAACCAGTCATTAGCCTGATGGATAAACTTAAGTGAAATATACTCTGTCTTAACATTTATGTATGCTGTATTACCACCTTGTTGACTTGCCGTCCAACTTCTATTGTGTTCTTTTGAAGGTGATTGTTGTATACTGCTCAATTATAAAATCAAAAAAATATATATTGAAAAAACAAAACTGGGGAAACTTTCTAAGTCTAAATCGTCACTCTTCATTATAACAGATTTTAAAAATATATTTTTTTTATTGACCCTGGGCAGGTGGTGAGCTTTGCTAGCCTGAAGTTTGACCGCTCCTATAACTGGATGGTTTTGTGTGTGCTGTGGTGCTCCATTGCCCAGTCCATCCTGCTGCCAATGTTCCTCTGGGCATGCGACCGCTATCGGGCCGACATCCGCATGGTGTGGGAGAAATGTGTCGCCATCATGTCCAACGACGATGTGGATGAGGGTAAGCTACTGTTAAGCATCTCCCTCCTCTCCTGCCTCCTTTTTCCTTCCTCTTCACCCCATGATGTGAATATTGATTGGTATTTCTTAGGACATACATGTGGATTAGTTTGAGCATTAAGAGTAGATTTTAAATGCTCTGTGAAGGCATGCCCAAACTGAAAGGGTGGACTTTAAAGATAAAAATGGGATGTGATTATGATGTTTTAAATTGATAAACATTAACTTTAAACTACACTTGATCTGTTCACAAAATCTCCTTTGACAGTGAAAGGTAAAGCATCACTCTCAGAGTAGAGGTTCATTTGTATTGGCTTCTGGGCTGTCTCTTGACAGAGAGAGAAGCAATTTTGCAGCAAGGGAACAGAGTCAAAAACTATTTTCTCTATGGTGTAATGCTTGATAGTGATGTCATCTTCTGCTCCCTGAGATACAGTGTGGTGTAATCTCTGCCTTTTTACAGACTTTAATGTCTATGCATCCCTTTTGTAAAGTTACAACTCACAAATGTTGTAATCCAAAGGAAATCTTTTAATAAAATGATGTTATTCACTGATGCAGATAATACCTGTAACTACATCCTAAAATCATCAGGCCTGCGTGTAAGGCATTTAAAAGGAGAGATCTGTGATAATAATTTAATAAATTGTCTACTGTCTACTAGCTTTAGGCTACTGTTATTGTTGCTTTTAACAGTTTAGATGGACAATTTTAACATCTCATTCTAGAAAACAATTTGCAGATTAGTTAACATCTGCTTAGTCATCGTGGTTTGGGCTATTGGTACATGTTTCTTAGATTTAATTAGAATTGGCTTGGGGTGAATATTCTTAGTTTTTGTTTTTTATTGTAGTCAGAGGTCTGAAATCAGTGGTCAGTTGTTATCATGTGACCTATCAAGTGACCTTTGTTGTCAGGAGATGAAACTGGAGGGACAAGTGTCTGTGTAATTTAATTCTAAATATTCAGTATATCTTCTGTGTTTTGTACATGCTGTGTACTTTTCTAAAATGTTTGCTGTGTTCTTTAAAAAAAAAGAAAGAAATAGGGCTGGGCAAAGTACATATTTACCTTGCAGCACTTTTGTCTTTTTTCCGCTCTGGATTTAAACTGGGCAGTCTTCCTCCAGAATGCCCTGGTGAGAGGATGTTAAAATAAATGGTTTCCCATTTATGTCTTAGAGTCCAGAGTCAAACCGGAGCAATTGCCGTAAAGCTGAAAACCACTTTCATGTCATTATGATGGTCATATTTTCCTCAAGTCACAAAAGGATACAGCCAAGATCATAACTCAAAAGTACATAAAAATTGAAAAACAAAATCTGTTTACTGTATTTATTTTGTTTTCTTTCTTTCTTTTTTTAATTTAGTTTTATTTTTTATTTTAATTTTTTATTTTGATTTTCACTTTGAGTCAGATTATAGCGATTTAACAGCAGAAATATTTATTAAACATCACTTACTAGACATTTTATAGGGAGATTTTCAAAGGGGGGTGAAAGCTAACCTGTTCACCAAGAAATCACAGACACTATCAGCAAAATCTGGTCTCAAAATTAGGTCACATGATAATCATGCGCTCATGAACTAGGTCCATGATATTTACAGTTATTGCAAACTGAACCACCTGTCTTTTTTTTAATTTTTTTTATTTTTTTGGACTATTGGCACTGTTTAAACTCAACCCAACCTGAATCCCTTCTCTCCTGTTTTTAACCCTCCAAACCTTTTGATCCTCTCTTATGACACCCTCCCTCAGAACTGCTCATTGTCCAGCAGGAGCCATAAGACAACATTAGATAGTTCCTTATTCTGTTTGATAATTAACACTACCAGTTCTGTGCTTTTTTTCCAGAGGGCTTGCCATGTATAACTCGTCACAGTTGTATGTATAAGGATTGTTTCCTGTTATTCCAAAGCTACTGACATGCATGCTAAGCTGCTTGTGCACATAGCTACTTTCATCTTTCATCCTTTTGGCAAGCATTTTCCTCAAGCATTTTACACCCATCCCAATTGATATATCTAATGAACACAAATGTAGAAATTGGGAAAATATTCTTGGGAGATTGGTATTTCGATACTAAGAACACGTGATATTGTTCCTGTTCAACTGTTTGGCATTACTTCAAAATTTTGAACCAAACACTGAAATGAAAGCCTTTTCTCTTGAATCTGAAGCTCATATTTCAGAGCAGACACGTAGGAAAGTCGACAAATCGGAGAACAGTTGAACTTGTCTCTCTTATCTATTCGTCTGTCTGTCTGTCTGTCTTGTGTATTGAGTCCGTTGCTCTCTAATGCTGACGCTCGTACTTTTCTGCACTTTGCAGAAAACAGCCAAGACGGAGGAATTCATGCCGACTTAATATATGACAGACCATATGACTATAGCTCGGCGCCTGAAATCGTGACGATAGACCGTAATGCCAAGTATGAGTTCTCAACCTTAGAAAGGGGGGTTCTGCAAGGGTATCCATTGAGGGAACAACAGGAAGATAAAATGCAGTATTTGCAGGTATATTTTTTATTGATTTTCTTCATTTCTTTTACTTGATCAGTTGAAATCCTTTTATTGTTAATGTGCATGGTGAAATGGCCTTGTGGGCCTGTACAGCATCTTGACTGAATTTACTGAAATTATTAGATTTTGTGACGCTATATCTCCCAGATTTTTGTCCTTTTCTCACATGAAATCAAAAACAAACTCGGGCTGACTATTGTTTGGTAAATATGACCATCAGAAGTCCCATCAGTTCATTATATGCGCTTTTTTTTTTTTTTTTTTTTTAAACAAGCAATGTGTCCTGCAAGCAGGTGACTACATTTTCACTTTGTAAGAGGGTAAGTGTTTAGTAACGGACTTACCTTCTACATTTCAGGAATCCTTCAAGGCTTCAGAAAGACACAATAAGCATTATCTCATGTTCTGCCCAAATGCATGGTCACCATTGGATCCAGCATCCATCCCAGTCAGACGCAGAACAATGAAATGATCATTTTCAGCTACATTAACAAAGCTTGATCTAACATGCAGCCTTCTAGGGCAAATCAACAACACCAAAAAGTCTGAGTCAATTTGAGATATTAAATCAATAATATTTAAAATTATTAATTAAAATAGAAAAGATTGTGACTCGCTAGACTTGGCCTGGAAGACTGTGGTTAGAAAACCTAACTTTAAAATCAGCCGGTGCAACCTACACTTTATTAAACTTTTCTAAGATTCAAGACACTGTGTCATCTTTGTATTACTTTGATGGGGGCTCCACAGCCTGTAGCCCAAACTGCTACATTTACATGCACTGAAAATAATCATTGAAGTTGGTACAACAACTGGACAGCTGTCCAGCACTATAATGGACCCTTCAAAGACCAACCACTCATGTGGAGTTCAATGTCTATTCTATTTGACTTTACAAAAAAGATTGAAACAGAGATGTATACAGTAGCCATCACATCATTAAACCAAACATTACTCCATCCATAGTTTTTGTGTCATATGTTTGTTTTCACCTGATAATAGATTCAGATTACCAAAGCACTTTATAGCTGTTTTATTCCTTGCTGTATCTCTGTGACTGTAAGAACTACATTTCATTTATAGGACGACTGGCTGAAGTGTGATTCCGTCACATTTTTTGCCATTTGCCCTGAAAGGCTTAAGGCCTAAATAAGTCATGAATCCACCAACCTCTTAAAGTCATTATCAAATAGCACCCCCATCTGAGAGTTGCTGTGATGCCTCTCAAGCGGTTTGATTGCAAAATAAAGCTCCTCCAGCTTTATTGGCTTGTCTCTCTTTCACTTTCTCCCTCTGTCTCTCTCTCTGTCTCTTTTTGTCCTGCATCTTAAGTCATTCTAATGCCTATGCTGCCCTCTGCTGTACAGCACTTCTGCCTGAATGCTACTGTATCGTCTGCTGTTTTAAATTTCTCTGCATTTACTAAAAGCCACCGCAGGGGGGCAGGCTGATTTCAGTCTTGAGGCTCTTGACGTCACCTTGACGAACCCTCTCTCTCTTGCATAGTTGTCAGAACTGAATGGAATGTGAGTATAACATGTAGGAAAATGTCAGCGTTTTCAGTTTTCTTCTCCAAATAATGGAGATGAGAGCTATAAGTTATAAGAGTTATGATCTTGTTGATGTGTGTCATGCATGGCTTATGGGACTGATTAAAATTAAGGTTAAACTTGTATGCGTAGGGTCTTCAATAAACAACTGATATATGCTACATGTAGGATTTTACACAAGCAAAACAACAGAATCAGATCTAGAAAAACAAACAAAAACGTTGGCTTTTGTTTTCTGGGTGCTGAATGCCTTCAGTGCAAATCAGCGCTTCTAAAACTGCACTGAACTATTACAATGACATTAACCACCAGATGATGTCGAATAATCCTACATGTACTATTCTGGGTCTTTGATAATGTAGTCGAGCTATACTAGTGCTCAACATGTATCTCATATAATGTGCAGCATTTATTAAAAATTAAAATTCATGTAAAAGTTTTGAAATAGCTAAAAGATTTGATCTGTGTTTTGCATCCAGGTGCCCCCTACAAGAAGATACTCCCACGACGAAACCGACATGTGGACCTGCGAGCGGATCCCCTCATACCTGCACAGATGGGGCTCCACCGAGGACATGATAGTGAGTGCCCATTACAGCTCCACCTTGCCGCGCCGCGAGAGGCGCAGGAGCAGCCTGGTCTCCTACCACGAGGAGAACCACCGACACCATCACCCTCACCGCAAGCGGCGACGCTCTGAGGATAGCATGCACTCTCTCAGGCATCTGCCCCGTGTGGTTTGTGGCGGGGAGCATTACGAGGATGAACTGCGGTGTTTCAGCCGCGACGAAGTGATAAACTTTATAGACGAGACGCCGCTGCCGAGCCCCAGAAAGAGCCCGAGACGTGCGTCCACCATCTCACTTATCCCTAATGTGTATGAACAGCACACAGTCCTTCCCCACTTTCCACTCACAGACTTTGAGCGTGAGCCTCAAGTGCTCAGGCGGTTGTCAGAACACAAAAGAAGCAGTAGTAGGGTCCACTCACCTGAGGGTTCACCCAAACCAGACAGACCTGCGGGAAAGAAGAGTCCTGGGGCTTGTGGTTCTGGGAAAGGCTGTCGAGAGCGCCAGCGAGATGGGAAACAGCAAGGGGAAATGGGCTCGTCTGGGTGCAGCCGACAGTCTCCAGGGCACTCTGGCTTTAGGCCCAGGACAGGAGGTGGTGCTGGGACTGGTGCTGGAGCTGAATGGGTACAACAGAAGCATCTGAGCAAGGCTGAGAGTAAAGGAAGCACAAACAGTTTTGCAAGCACACCCTCGGCATCATCCTCGGGATATATCACCTTTCGGTCTGATTCTGTAGGTTCTACCATGTAAAAGACTTTTTCCTTATTTATATCAACATCATTACTGAATCATAACGAAAACCACTGGAATATTGGTGGTAACGGAAAAGTGACTTACTGGAATATTCCGGCCTTTTTACTCATGCCACACTTCTGTTTAACTATATACCACCAATAAATATCTGTTATGCTAAATGGCCTTGGACACAATGTTTGAATGGGCCTGTTGATTTATTATGTAGGCTAGTTAAAAAGTTTTCAACTTTTACATCACAGAGTATCCACTGAGGACATTTTTCCCATCACTGATGCAGAGAAATAGTTTTTAAACCATGTGAACATCCTCTAACTCAGATTTTGGTGTTTTTTGATCTTCAAAGAATTGGAAGAGGTTGGTTTTTTTTCATGGTGGTGTTTCTTTATTTTTGTCACTCAAAAACGTACATTTTTTTTTTCAATTTGCCCTGTAATGACTGTGTGTGTTTTGGTGGATGGATACAGATTCCCTGAGTACTGCCACTGTACCTTGAGCTTGACATTTTAAATATGTGCGTTTTTTATAATAATGTCCACCATTTTTTTTTATTTTTTATTTTTTATCATCATTCACAACACAATAAAAAAACTATTTTTCAAGCACCCTTTGTTGTAAGTAAACTGCCAGGGTAACTCCAGTTTCTGAAATGCCTATACTTTTACAGTTACTCTGTGAGATATTGAGATATAGCCTGAACACCCCTAAATCCTTAATGAAAATGTGAAGTCATTTTTTTTTTAAAGAAGATTGACATGTCGTGTATATATAGAGGATATCTTAATTAATGGTTTTAGTGTTTTCTGTTTAATTAGACCTATGGTTAGAACATTTCCCCTCAAGTCTTAATATCCCAATGTTTTGTTTTGTTTTGTTTTTTAAATCAAATCATCAAACTAATATGCAAATGGAACTTCATCTTCATGACAGCGCAGTATGTCAACCGCTTAGAAATATCAGAAAGGATTTTCTTTTAAAGTAGCCAGCTAAGACAGAACCCTTAAAAGTTGCTAACTAGTCCAAAGGTTCAATAATCACAGCCTTCAGGATGTGATTGAGATGTAGCATAATTTAAATGGAGTTGTCGCATCTTAAACCTTCAAAAATGTTAGCACAAATGAGGAGCGTTTTAAATAAAAAAGCTTTTGATTGAACAATACTTCTAGTAATTTTCCACACACAGCAAAAACCCAACCTTATATTTCACTTGTCAACTCATAACACACAAAATATAAATAATGGATCTGAACTGTTTTGTGAGCATTTTTTAGTGTGATGTTACTTTTTTTTTTTTAAACACCAGATTAATCAAAGTCAAACCAAAATCAAAGATAAAGCAAATTAAATATAAACATAGCCAAAGTATCAGTGAGTAATGCTGTTGAAGGATTAAAGCTTAAATGTATTTCTAGATTTGGGTAGAGACTGTGATTATCTAACACTGTAAGGTGCAAAAGTTCAATGACGCTTAAACAGTAAGCGTTTTTCTGAGGCATTGTCACATAGCACCCTCACTCAGAATAGGCAGTAAAATGAACTGATGGGTGTAGGTGATGTTAAATTAAAGAGTCACATCTAATTTATACCACAGTGATAATTTGTTTAAAAAATGACTGAAAATTCTTTGACTTAAAATAACAAAATAATAATAGCGGAACCAAATTCAGTTAACAATAACTTCTAATGTGAATGTGGCTGATTTGCACAAGTTAGGTGCAAGTTTTCAAAGATATTACAGCATGAGGACAAAGTGAAAACAACAGTATCCCCCTTGAAGCCTTATTAGTTGTGATTTTTTTTTTTTCCATACTATTCAAGTGATAAAGTTATTGGTCATCTGCAGTCGTGTAAACTTTCTAATTTTCATATATTGGTGCACCTGCCTTTACTTGCAGGTATTAAAATGGAGAAGGAGAAGTTAGCTGAAATGTGTCTGTCTTTGGAAGCATATCACCATGTTCCCCTGTCAAACTTTGCTGTGTCATAGACTTTTTTGTTTTTTGGGATTTTGTTGTGTTTATTATATCATAATCTAATTTTGTAACATATTCAAAGATCTATGACTCAAATATGAATGATGTTATGTATGTTATGATTTTCTTGTTCAGATGATGACTTTGTTAAAAACATATGACTGATTAAATTCACAAGATGATGTTTCAGGTCCACTTTATTTGTTGCTTGTACAATATGTGCTTTTCATGGAACAGAGCAGAATTTCCCTGACAGGCAAAGAGATGACATCATTTTATGTGTCACCAAGGCCAGATGAAAGTGAACCTCATTAAGTCCTCGGTTAAAGACTAAGGTTTGACTAACAATGGTTAGTTCTACTTAGTTTAGTACAGCCACACATTTTCTGAGCTCACCTTTAATTTGCAAAGCATTTGGGATTCTAGCAGGATATAGATTTGGTCATTTGCCTTAGAATGCCCTCATTACTTATGGAGCGCAGATTAATTAAAATTGGAACAACTTTTTCATAAAATCTCTTGTTACTTTACTCATTTACTATTGTTTTAATGATTTGGCTTCTCACATGTTTTAATAAAGGAATTCGATGCCATACCTGCTGTGCCAAAAAGTGACTGGTGGCGTTTGATAAAAAAAAATGTTTGTCTGTATTTGTTGCAAATGACTAATTGACTTATAATTAGTCAAAAATATATCTAATGAAAAATATGAAGTCATTCTGAATGAGGAAGAACATTTCTGTCAAACGGTAAAAGCTGCAATCTGTCTTTTTCAAGCAGCCTAACCAAGGGGGCAGTAGAAATTACAATAAATAAAACTATTTTGGCAAAGCAAAAAGCACTGGATTGGTTATGATGTAGAACACAGAGCTGGTGTAATAAAGCACGCTCTTAGGGATATTTGCAAAACAGATTATTCTTGATTTTATATAACCTATACAAACAAAGCATTGACTTTTTGACAGATGATCACTTTTGGGTATACAGGAATAATAATTGAGCTTAGTTCAGAGGGATAAAGAGATGATTTTTCGCCAATACCTGCAAAACCATTCCCTCTTTGTGGGTTATCTTGTTGCCACTGAAGTACACCTGTTGTCACTTTGATTTTCATCGGAAATATCCCTGAGGTTTAATTGACTGTTAATGTGATGATGAAGTTTAATTTTATGATCAGTGTTTGGTTACGTTGATTTCTTTCAGCTGTTGATCGACAGTGAGCATTATTCTAAAGTAAGGGAAAATTTGTGGAGAAATTGGCGTTGTCTGTAGCCAGAGGTTGTTTGTTTTTTAACAACAATGAGCATGTTCACGTCACCTTCTACGTGCCAAAAGGTAATTCACGCGGTTTAGAAACAGCTTGAAACCAATGACAATCTCTAGTGTGTGTGTGTGCATCTGACTGTGGCAGCAATCTGTAAACTACAGTTTTAATTGCGCTGATCATCAAAATAAATTAAAGCACTGCATGGCTGTGCTGAACCCGGGCGAGCCAGGTCTGCTTTTATTGGCAAGGAACAGAGACGTCTGAAGCGCACTTCATCCACGTCTGCTCTCTTAAGTGCGCTTCACTGGGCGCAGTTTAATGCTAATAAAGTATTCTCTCTTTCCCTTAGGTTTTCGGCTCTAATATAGTTAGCTATTATAGTGGACCAAACTAGGCCAATGCAAGAAGAGTTCATAGAAATTCTTAGAAATAGTTTAAAGGTCATTCAGTGTGAAGGTCACGTGGCATTTTCTTTATTGTATTAAACAAACTTTTCTTGTGCCGTGGTCTGAGACCCTTGTACGGGTCTCATGGAAAGCGCAGCTTTGACTTTGCGGGGAGAGATTGCAGGGTTTTATTAGCAGACCAGTCAAAACAAAACAAACAAAAAAAAAAAGATGGAATAACAAATAGTTTGGACAGAGACAGGATAATAACTGAGGTTTCTCTGGCCAAACCCCCCCCCCCCCCCCCAAAAAAAACAACCCCAAAAAACAAAACAAAAAACAGGCTGCCCTTATCACATGGAAACTTCTTCTGTGAGACAGCAGTGTTTTCAGCATGGGTCGTCTGAAATAGCTGTGGGCGTTTCAGCAATTCTACTCGCTTTAAGGTGCTATCCTCTCCAGCGCTGCTAGAAAAGAAAGGGGAGACACTTTATGGCACCTCCGCTGAAGCAGCGGAAGAAAAGTGCACCTAAAAAGAGGTCTACAGCAGCCTTAAAGCCAGCACAGCCTATAGTGCAACAAGTTGATGTGGTTATGCAGTTATCCTCAAAACTACCTGACCTAGTCTACAAACACTTTTTTCACCACTGCTTAACAAAATGAAAAATCTCAGATGTATTTTTCAAAAAAAGTTGCTACTTTCCATTCTTCTGTGGATTACGCGCATGTAGAATAAAAAAGACGTCAGATTAATGAGGATTACAGTAAGTTTTACAAATATGGTCTGGAACTTCACTATATAAAGCCCAGGGAGGAGTTATATGAATCTATAATAATGGTATTATTATTATTATTATTATTATTATTATTATTATTATTATTATTATTTTCAAATAAAAGGAGACACTTTAACCTAAAAGTGGGAAATCCCAGTAAAGAAGGAGCTGGAAAAAAAAATAGAAAATCCAAAAGGTGAAAAAAGTTAATTGGATAAATTCAGATTGAAATATAACATGATAAAGCTCAGATCAGAATCAAATAAGCGTATCCAAATCTAGAGGACATCACTGAGCATGTAATTAGTTGCATATAGCAGAAAATTGCTTTGCTGTCCAACAAGTATCTGATTTTCCCGCTACTGTTTCGGTACTTACGCGTGAAACCAGAGCAGAATGGAAGAAATGACAGTCAAACCCCACCGAGTCCGTTTTCCTCTAAACTCCACAAAATTACGTCATAATTTCCCATGACACAAGTCAAATTAAGTTTAGAGAAATGCCACAAAGAAATAGAAATTATGAAGTGCTTCATTTTTAAAGTTTTAAGCACACATAGGTTCTCTGGCTTCCCACAATCACATTAAACGTTTTGAGGTTTACATTTTTTACAGTAATCTGTGTTGTTTTGGATCGTTTTGTTTCTCTCTCTCTCTCTCTTTTTTTTACACTAATCCGTGCTTACAGCAATATATGTGCCACTTTGAACATAACATGTTGTATTTGACATTCAGACTGAAAGGTTAATGTCATGTTACTAAACAACACAGAGGGACGTTTCCTTTGCCACGTTTATTATGGAAATAATACTGTATTAAAAATAAGTAACAACATGTCGAGGGAAACTATAGTGCAATCATAAACACAAACAGTTAAATCAAGCTTTATTTAAAGGATATTTACAGATTTTCAGCTACCAAGGTCGCCACAGGCTTTGCTGAACGTTCGCGCCTTCATTTATGTCGCTGGAGCCTTTTTTAGTACTATTTTGTGTAGGAGCCGCAAAAAGAACAGCCTGTTTGGCTTCAGTGGAGCGGAATGCTTCTTCTGCTGGTGGAAAAGAAGACGTGCTTGCATCATGGACTTTCAAAGTTTTCGTTCTGGTCGTTTTTCTCTCCTCGGTTCCGGATGCGGATGGAGAAAGTTTCTGTGCCCCACTCTGAGTGTCAGTTTGCTTCAGACCGCTGTCCATGGTGCTGAAGATTTCCGCTCTTCTCCGAGAGCGAGAGAGTTTATTGGAAAGCTGCGATAACATCCAGCGGTCGTTCGCGTTTAGATTATCTGTCATCAGCAAGTACTGGTTGACATTGGTTAGACATCTGCGGAAGCCACTTTGGTAGTCGGAAACGTCGAAAGCAGACGCTGCGCCTTAAATCATGAAAAAGGCATCTCAAGGTCAGAGACATTCAAATTCTGCATAAAGTTGTGTTGTCAAAAATACATGAATATGTCTTCAAGAATGAAGTCATAACTCACAAATTTGAATTTTTTGGAGGTTCTTCACATGTTTCACGGTGAGCTCCAAGATGTCAGCCTTTTCCAGTTTGCGCTTTCGAATCTGAGAAAAGAGATTACACATTACTTAAACTTTTTTCGTAAAAGAAATGCTAGCTCATCAAAAGTAGCAACCCAAATTGTTCCAGCTCTAAAGTTGTGGTTCTCATACTTACACTGCTGCTGTAGTAGCTCTCCAGGAGACATTTTAACTGGTCCAGACACTGGTTTATGCGCGCTCTTCGCTTTTTTTCCATGAGTGGTTTGGACACCTGTAAAGCACGCGTAAAGTCAACAACCCATGCTTCGATAATTCGTAGTAATTGTGAGGAATTTGCCGTTTATTAAGTTCCCTTTAACAAGTTCTTTTACACACCTTGTTTCCAGCAGTGGGTTTGACTTTCTCGATGCAGTCTGTCGTCGCCACCATTCTCTTAGTCCGTTTTGATTTCCTTGAAGTTAACCTTTTTCTCTCTCTGGCCCACGGACGAGGGGGTTTATCCTGAGTGGATTTATATAGAGACACCCACTTAACATGTCAATGCAAACAGGCCCGCCTCTGTCTCTCGCGCTCAAATGGGCAACACTGGCAGCTAGTTGGCTTGGCAGCCCACACTAACTATAGAATCAGACTCTAATTATTTGAAAATCTATTTTTTATGCTGCTCCATGGTTAATAACTGAGTATAAATGTATTTCGCCTTGATCCAAACTCCCACAGCCTGGAAGTATTTTTTAAATTATCTGGTTCATATTTTTATTCCTTCAGGTCCTCAGGTTCGTGCAGGGCACAGAGGAATAACCAGACTGGAGTTTAACGGGAAAACAGACTTATAGCTCTAGATCTAGTTATAGAGTCTATGCAATCTACTGCTTCATATGTTGTGCAGTGTCTACCCGGTGTCTAATAATCAACTTGTGTGGCAAAGTAGCGTAAAAATAGTAAACATAATGATAATGGTTTTGCTTGGTATGCAGCATGGACACTATTGACTCCTGTATTCAGTCTTTGTGCGTGAGTTTCACGCCACCAGGTTGAAGGCAGCACCGTGGAAATTCACGTCGTGTCTCCACAACATTCCAATTTTCCGGTGACCGCTGATAGTAAAACCTCTGCACCTGCAACATCTTATTAGATCAGCCAGACTGCTTTTTAAAGGCAAACAGTGCAGGTATTTTAATATATATTTATATATAGACTATACACGATAAACGCCCTAGATGCTGGAACAAAAAAAGCAGACGAGGTTCCAAGTGCC